GTCGTCATCAAGTCTCCCTGGCTACTTTTTCCAGTGACTCCAGAACAGATCATTCTCCCTGGTTGCAGTGTACAGCACATTTTTCACATCTTGTCCTGTCCTGACCGGCCCAAAGGCTGCTGCATGAACAACCTCCTGTTTAATTTGTTCAAAAGCTTGATGTTCAGGACCCCACTCAAATTGTTCTCCTTCTGCATCACTTGATACAGAGGACTTACAATCTGGCTGTAATCTGGAATATGCATCTTCCTCACAGTACTTAGGAAAGCTTGTGTTTCCTTTTTGCTGGTTGGTGGGAGCATAGCTGCTCCTTTGTTGACCACATCCATTGGAATCTGATGACATCCATCTTGCCATTTTACTACTAAAAACTGAATTTCCTGGTCAGGTCCCTTGACCTTACTTTGTTTTATGGCAAAACCTGCCTTGAGGGGGATTTGGATTATCTTCTCCCTTTTCTCAAAAACTGCCTCTGCTCTGCTGCCCCACGCAATGATTTCATCAATGTACTGGAAGTGTTCTGGAGCCTCACCCTTTTCCAGTGCAGTCTGGATGAGTTCATGGCAAATAGTGGGGCTGTGTTTCCATCTCTGGGGCAATCAGTCCAGGTGTACTGGACATCCCTCCAGGTGAAAGCAAACTCAGGCATTAGCAATGTCAATGGTGACACCACTTTGCTTCCTTGAACTCCAGTTCGTACTGAAGTTCCAGCATGTACAGCACAGCAGCACTCAGTGGTGGTGTGACTTCATTCAGGCCAAGATAGTCCACTGTCAGTCTCCACTTTCCACTGAACTTATGCATTGGCCACACAGGACTAATAAAGTGTGAGCAAGTCTTGCTGACCACTCCCTGGCTCTCTAGTTCACAAATCATTCCATGGATGGGGTTCATGGAGTAACAGTTTCTGTGGTATTGTTGACAGTGCACTGTTGTGGCAGCAGGACCTGTTGTTCTTCAACCCTCAGCCAATCCCACAGCCAAAAGGTCCTCTGAGAGACCAGATGAGGTATTCAACTGCCTAATTTCCTCTGTCTCCACAGCAGCTATCCCAAAAACCCAGTGATGCCCTTTTGCATCCTTGAAATACCCTCTCTGGAGGTAATCTATGCCAAGGATGTACTCTGGGCCAAGCACAGTGGGGTGCTTTTGTCATTCCTTCCCAGTCAGGCTCACTTCAGCTTCCAGAACAGTCAGCTGTTGGGATTCCTCTGCCACCCCAGAAATAGAGATAGATTCTGCCCCTGCATATCTTGGTGGCATCAGGGTACATTGTGCACTGGTGTCAGCTAAAGCATTATATATATATTCTTGAGGGTCTGATGTCTCAGGCCATCAGATCCACACAGCTCCTTTCCTCCACTTGGCTGGAGGCATTTAGTCCTGGTCATAGTACTCGCTGCTCACTTCTTGTAAATATGAACTGGAGTTAGAAGTAACATCAGCCTTTATATTCTGTCTGAGGACTTGCCCACTAGAAACTGGAGTGGCATTTATCCTTGAAGAATTTCCTGCAATGGTTGTCCTTTCTTTCAACTCATGTACCCATGCTGATAGGGCAGAGGTGGGTTTTCTGTCCCACTTCATGTCTTCTCCATGGTCAAACAGGAAAAACTACAGGTTTTCTTGTGGTGTGTGCCCTCTCTCTCGAGTAGGGGGTGTTTGTCCAATAGCAGAGACTCTGGTCCATACTGGTGGTGAATGGGACATTTCCTCTCCGGTTTGCTCAAGTCTTTTGAATCTGCCCACAGTCTTGGACACTCTTTCCACAGCCAAAGCACAGATCAGTAAGGAGGAAAATTTATGACCTTCATGTTGCCTGAGCTGAGTAGTCACCTTTGTTCTACTTTCATTGACATAAATACTAACAAGACAGAGTGATGGCACGCTCTGTGCAAACTTCTGCCACAGGGATTGTGTACACTGGATGTCGTCTGTATCTACAGGGAACTGCTTGTCATTTGAATCCTTACAAATTACCTCGAGCACATCTCTCAAATACTGGATACCTTGCTCCATGACATTCCACCTGCTTGGGGGCACTACGAGATCATCCTTGAGAGAATACCTTTCCCTAACACTTGACAGGAGTTGCCTCCAGAGGCTGAGACTTTCTGTCCTCTTCCCAATCCTCTTGTCAATGTCCCCATCTCAGGACAGAGATCCCAGTTGCTCGGCTTAAGTATCACCTAGTTTCATATTTTGGGCTGCAACATCCCAGCATTGGAACAGACAGGTCACTAGGGTCTCATCCAACTTCTGGCTCAAATCTTTTTGCATATCTTGCAGCTCACCCAGAGATAGAGATCCAGTGATTATCTCTGGCCCTGCCTCTTCCTTCTGTTCTGAGAGTCCTGCTTCTTCTTCATCCCTCACTATGTGAACTGATTTTGTCTTGTATTTCTTCCTCTGCTACTGGCATGGGTTGTTTCTCTGGATCAGCTGCAGTTTCAGTGACCACAGGGCCTTTTGTCATCTTGGTCTGCTTTTCTCCTCTTCCCCCTGAGGGTGCTATCTAGTAATGAGTGGTGTTTGACAAAAAGTAGCCAGGGCCCAGCACTTGCATAAGTTTGCAGCTCTCTGGAGCTGCCACAGCAGTTTTCTTTCAAATACTCTGCCACTTAAGCAGGGTCCTACAGTTGTTCAGCAGTGAACTTCCAAACCATTGGAGCAGAGTAGTCCCTCAAAAGCTGGCTCATTTTCTCCCACATTCCATGCCAGTCATAGTTATCCACTCCTGGGCAGATCTCTGAATAACCTCCTTAGTTTCTTGAGTCTAAACATGGTGTGGTAGACTGCACTGAGGAAACCTGGTAGACTTAGAAACAAGAACATGCTTTCCTCAACATCCAAAGGGAATTCAAAATTCTCAAAAGCTGTTGTAACAGGTTGGAAGGAGGAAAATGGGGTGAAAAGCTGGGAAAAAATCATCCTCCTGTGTTTCCCCCACAGATGAGGTACAATTATTAATAGACTCCCAAAGGTAGCGCCTGGGGTAAGGGTAGGAGAGCAACAGTGAATACACATCCCTAAGGACCCTCATTGTCCTTGATATTATCATGTCATAAGCTGATATCCCACAGTAGAGCAACAAACAGTGAACAAACCAAGCAACACTGTGACCAGTGGCTCCATACCTAATACAACAAATGCTTTGATTGAATTTCTTCCAACCCACTGTGGTCAGATCTGTTTTCATCTCAAACCTTCAAGCCTCACATTGTGTGCCAAATTAGGCTGTTGTGCTTTAGGAATTGCATCCTCCAATTTAGTGTTCCCACCAAAAACCTCCAAATCATGTGCCACTCTCTCTCTCCTCCCCTCCCTTCCTGCAGTAGGCTGGAGAGGAGAATTGGAGGCACAGAGGTTCAAGATCATAGGTCGAGATAAAAACAGCAGTGAGATAAGAAAATTAACAGTAGCAGCAATAACATTAATAACAAAAGCGTAAAAGAGACAGGCGAGCGATTCACATGCAAATGCTCACTGCAGAGCCCAACTCAACCTATCCTGACCTGAAAGAGAGCCCTTATAGCCCTTCGCCCTATCCCCAGAAAATGACATGAGATGGTACAGAATAACCTCTGTGTCCTAGCCATGCCCCCTCCTGGCTACTGCAAAAATTAATCATTATAACTTGTGAGAAGCATTGTTCTGCTGTGAGGTAGGAATGTACTTATTGATCTAACACTAAATAATGTCAATGAGCACAAGTTCATGCTTCATTATAAGCTTAATGGACCTGAATAGAATACAGGTTTTATACATAGCTTCATCTAAGTGTGGAGGTATTCATCATTCAAAGTTAAAATAAGATTTGTTAGCTGAAATGAAATTTTTCTTATAAAAATATAAAATACTAATTTTGTCTTCATTAAATGTGTAAAACAGATCAAAATTTGGACTTTTTTAGTAGTCTCACAATTAGGTAATCTTAATTCCATCACAAGTCTTTAGGGGACTCAGTAGTTGTGTATTTTAACACATATAGTATAATTTTCAGCTAGAAAAGTATAAACATGCACATTATTTTCCCTAAAATGCATGTTAAAACCATCCTACTTGCATGAGCCTCCAAAGTGGCACCACAGAGACAGCTGCAGGTATGATCTACCTGCTTCCACCCAGTAAAGCCATTCATGGTTTGAAAAACAAATAAAGGGATTAATTTCAAAGCAAATTCTTGCAATGTCCTTTTTAAAAAAAGGATTCCTGCAGTGTCTTTAAAAACAAAGGTAATTTTGAAAAATTGTCAGAACTTTTTAAAAATTGTCATAGATTTTTCCCTTTTTCATTCAGATTTACTATATAACATGAAGTTATCAAACTCTGGAGGGAAAATAAGCACTTAGTTTTCTGCTTAGGTTAGTAATTTGTATTAGTGAAAAGTGTCCTAAGCACTCCTTAAGAGTTCTCTTTACTTTTACTTCTTTTTTTTAAGGCAAATCTTTAAATGTTTTTTATTAATCACTTGGGGACCTTTTAACCATCACACAGAGCTCAATGATTTGTCTAGATTTGTGGGTCTGTCAACAGATGGTCCACTATTAGCTATAATCTTGATCAGTTGACTTCATCTAAAGTAAGGGAAAAATAAACCTTTTTCATATCCACCCCAACAATGTAAGTACAGTTCTTTAAAGTACAGCTACCCAAATCTGTTTTTATGGTTCTAGAGCTAAGTAGAGTGACACATATTCCATGTTTACCTAATCTGAAAGACATATCAGCTTCCCAAATTAGAATTCCTTCTAGATAGAAAATGTTTACATCTATAGGCAGTGTATCAGACACTTAACTTTCTAAAAGTTAAGTGTATGCCACTTAACTGGCATAATGGCCAGTGTTACTGATGCCAGAGGAGAAAGCTTCATACCATTTAGGAGGCCCTTACATCACAGAAAAGGAAAATATCTGCGTTCATATCTTCCTAATTCTTTGCCCAATTCTACATACTCCCTCTCAGCTGCAGAAATATGAAGGAACTGCCCTGGCTTTACCTGTCTGAAGAACTCTTCTAGCAGAGACGTTGTCCAGCGATGGTGGAGTTCCCAAGCCTTGGCTGGATGACTGATATCTGCTGTATGTAACAACAGTGATAAGGCTTTCGGCTTGTCAATTCTAGAAAACCAAAGGATCAAACAAATTAATTGTCTACTCCTGCAGGGGACAATGACAAATATCTTACCTTCAGGGAAGTAAGGTAATTAGAATCCTTGGCCAGCATATTAATAAAGTAATTTCTCTGCTCATAAATTCAGAAACCTCTGAACAAGTGTCTTATTTCTCCAACATACACCATTCCTATTTCAAAAGAGATATTAAAAAATGCAAAAAGAAATGTTGCTCAGCCTTGTTGAACAACTTTCCAGGCTTGATTGTCTGGACTAACAGGCTTGCAGAGCTGCTGTGCTTCCGATTTGATCTGAGCTGCATTTTATGCACTCAGAAGAGAAGCTGGTCCCTAGCATATTACTCTAACGAACAATCAGAATCTCTGAGGGACTCTGATGAGTCTACACAGTAACTGATAAATGTTTCACTGACAGAAAACTAGTGTGAGATCAGAAGCGAATCCTGGCATTTGTTTTCACAGGAAAAAGGCTGGTGATTTTTTACAACCATAACCTAAGAGGTTAGCCCAAAAGCTTTCTTGGGATGGGTGATCTCATTTTTTAATGCCACTTTTTGGCTATCTGAAATAATTGAAAGAGTTTTAGCTTCTGAGAAGACCAAGTGGCTAGCCACACTCTAGTCTGCTACAGGTATAAAATTCTTATACAGGTATAATTCTGGGATGCTTTGGACAGACCTTTATCCAGCGTGAAAAATCACTCAGAGATTCGTGCAGTATAGAAGGAATTTTAAGGGGAAGAGCTGTGAACAAAATATCACAGCTCTGGTGACATACTGGGAAGAAGAAAAGACCTTCCCCATAGTGCTCCATCTGTTATTTTCCAGTTGTTCCCTCAGTGGATCTCAAGTTCTTTTCATCTGTTCTCTGGTTATGAAGCAGGCCCCTTGCAGGGGTTGCAGCTGACAGCATCAGCAGAAGGGCAAAAGTATAAGTTGTTTTCTGCAGATCTTATAACCTTGTGTCATAGTCAATCTGTAGAGATGACTCAACTGAATCATGCCCTTGGTGTTCCCACCAGGAAAATGCCCAGTGAGGCTTGTCTCAACAATGGTGAACTTTTCCAAGCTTTGGTCCACCAGTACAGAGTTGAGATGTATGTATAGGGGTGTGCCAATGCCTTCCTAAGTGAATTCATTACAAATTCAACAGCAGAAAGAAAATTGATGGGGACATCAGAGAAAGTGAGTGCCTCTGGAGAAGTGCTTCTGAAGTTAAACCCACTGGCAAAGCTCCTGCTGAAAATGCAGCCCCACACCGCACTGCGTTGTAAAGCGACTCACCCTTCTGGCTGCTGCAAAGCATTCTTCATAGCTTTGATTTGCTGGAAGTGACAGGACATATCAGTGGCCAACACCATCTCAATCACTAGAGCTCTGAATTCTCTTTTGAATGGCATCACAATGAGAGCAGCAAGGAGAGAGAAGCACAAAACCCAGCATCAGACACATTCCAGTTTCTTTTGTTGTCTATCTGCAAATTTTTGACAGCAATGCCTTTGTATGTAACTATTATTCCTCTTTCAGGGATAGGAAAGAGAATGAAGGATTTTCTACACACAGAAGTGGGTAGGCTGCAAATTAAGCCAGGTGACTAATCCTTGGTAAGAGAAATCCCAGATGTTTTTTGAAGAGCATATTGGTATTAGTACTGCTTTTTCAATTAAGCACAAACTTCTTAAATTGATTTCTTTTATAGAGCATTCTTAGATGGAAGGGAAGAACTTTAAAGCCTCAGAATCAGGTGAACTTGACTAAAACTCATCGATACCTATGCTGAAAGTTTAATCATGCTACTAAAAGAAAAACTACTATATATGATGCATATATGAAATAAAGACCTTTGAGAACCTGCACTACTTTTCTGATATTATAAATTCAAACTATTCTTGTATTAAGTTTTGTTAAAAATACTTGCTGTCCTAGTTTTGGCTACAGTAGAGCCAATTTTCTTCTTAGTAGCTGATACAGTGCTGAAGTTTTGATTTAATATGAGAATAATGTTGGTAACACACTGATGGTTTAGGTTTTTGCTAAGTAGTGCTTATTCCAAATTACAGACTTTTCAGTTTCCCATGCTCTGACAGTTAGCAGGTGCACAAGAAGCTGGGAGGGAGCATAGCCAGAACAGTTGACCCAAACATGCCAAAGAGATACTCCTTACCACAGAATGATGTGCCCAGTACACAAACTGGACTCACTTATCATTGCTTTGTTACAGGTTTGGCATCAGTCAGCAGATGGTGAGCAATGGTATTGCGCATCACTTGTTTCTCCTGGGTGTTATTTCATTCTCTCTTATTTTATTACTATTACTATTATTATTATCGGCAGCAGCAGCATTAGTGTTATTATTAATTAGCCACAACACTTGTTTAGACTGCAGCTGAAATTCCTTTGAAGATGATATGGATGTCCTAAACATTTTTAAATATCAGAACCTTCTGATCTAGATACAATACAGATTTATTTTCTCTTTCTCTCAGTTCAGTTCTCCACAGGTTAAAAGAGGAAGAACAGCCCAAAGTTGGCAAACCAGATCAGGTTTTGTAAGATTCAGAAATGGGTCACCATTAATTTAAAATAAAAGCTACCATTCTCCTTTTCATAAATATCTCATGAAGGATGTAGTCTACTTTGATCATGTCTCTTTTGCCTCTATTGGCTGTGCTCAAGTTCTAGCCCCAGTGCCACCAATGTGTAGAGATCCAAGACTTCTGTGCTTACCCCATCCCATGGATGGCACATAATGCAGCCTCCCCATACACAGGAGTTATGCACACTGATGGCATCAGCTGGCCTCACTCTTCCCCCACTATAACCACCTCCTCTTCCCAACCCCTAAGTACAATCAGTCCCATAGTCAACAGTGTTGTTGACTATAAAATATGTCTTTCAGTTATATAAGATATAGATATCTTTTATGTCTTATAGTTACATATACTTATGTTAAGCACGTATGTTGACTAACAACACGGTGGCTGAAAAGCAACTAATTTTCAATTATTTTTAATTTTATTTTTTTGGTCAGTCCTGATCAGTTCCCAGTAGCATAAACCTCACTGTCACTACAAACAAGAGAGGAGAACACAGACGCATAGAAATACATTTTTACAAGAAAAGGGAACAATCAGTGCTGGGAAACAGCAGACTTTTCACTACATCCTCCAGACTGCAACTGCATTGTATTGGTCTGCGTGGGCTACTTTGTGCATAGCTTATTGCAGAAGGAATACAAAAGCAAAGGACTCAGTCCAGGAAAATGAGGCACTGACTGCAGTTCAAGCATATACATATGCTTACAAGCACACACATTCTAGTTCCCCTTTCATAGATGTAAAACTGGAATATGCACATTCTCTGACCTCTGCATATATTTCAGAACATTATTTTCTCTGCAACAGAGACTACAAATACTTCAGAGATAGTAAGGATTTTACTGCTGAAAAGTTCTTATTTGTTACTTCAAACAACAGGTATCACAACAGCAGGTGACTCTGAAAAGTGTGGACATAGGGAATGTATGAGAGAAAATCTCAAAAGACATACACTAGAGGATGATAAGTTTGTTCTTTTTTTGCTAGGTTCAGATAATGCTGAAATTCATCACAGAGAGAATCAAACATAGATGTTTACCCATTTCTTGGTTTCACATATGAGTCAGATTAGAGCCTGGTACACACAGCTGTTACTTCTAGCTCTATTTTTTAGCACTTTGTTTCTGCAGTTGTCTTCAAAATCTACACAACACATTATGGTGCTGCAGTCTGCGTGCTGTCTAGTAGTCCTAGCTAAATAGATCCCAGATATTGTTTACAAGATGTGCTTCCAGTGATAGTCCAGCATATCTGGACTACATTTAATGATTCTAATAATGCACAAAAGCCTGTTCATGTTTTACATGACATACCATCAGAGGAATCTGTCTTTCATCTTGACTAACACCTTTCTATTAGAGAAGTACAGTATATAAAAGCAGAGGAAAAGCAAGTCAACTGAAACAGTTTCCACTTCTTTTAGAAAATATATTTGAGAACCTCAAAGTAGAATGAGGTAAAAGAGGTTGCACTACTTTCAAATGTCTATACATTGCTGTAAAATTGTGCAAAACTCTAGTGCTGGATACTTAGGCTTCATAAATATTATTACTGACATATTGTGAAAAGGCAGGCAAATTCAGCTCTCACTTCATTTCATTTACCAGTGAGATTATAAATTTGAAGATTCCCCAGGTATTTCTCCAATATTTTGTTCTCCTTTTTTCCCTAGTTTTCAAACCCAGTTTTGTAGTCAGGAAGAAGTTAATGAAGAACAAACTTTAATTCACTCAAATACTAACTGTCCCAAGTAATTTCTTAAATAACTTGACTCCAGAAAAGTTGTCCAAGCCTTTAAAAAATAGGCAACTTAAAAATGCACCCAAGAAAAGAGGAAATACTCCAAGCTGATGAGAAAGGAAGGAGCATTATACCCTTATAATCTACCCACTGTCCTTCTTCTATGATTTGAGGAGGAAAAAGGGATCCATTTCCTCACCATTAGAATGTGCACATTGCACCTCTTCTTACACCCTGCAGTGCATTTGCATTAACTAACAGTCCTAAAAACAACAGTGACCAGTTTAGGATCTCATGGGAGGTTCTGAGTAGGCACTTGCATTAGCTGCAAAATCTGACCTAAATCAGTTTTATTTCAGGCACAATCAGAAGCAATTGACACAACTTCCATCAGAATCAGGCAGTCTGAGTCAGCTCTTGAGACAGATAGGGCCTGACTCCTTCCAAATCTGCCTCTGACAAACAGCAGTGTTTACTGCTCCAACTGAAGTGTGACTGCAATTCACAGGTACAGCCTACATGCAACACAGGAGACTCGGGGCATTTACAGGAAGCACTGGAGCATGCAACTCCTCAGGGAAGAGCATCCAGGTCTGGCTTCAGAATTGCAAGCAACAGCTGTGTGGCAATTAAGGAACTGCAGAGAGGCAGACCATACGCACTAAAGGTTGCTCCCAAGCATGAACAACTAAACAGTTGTTGAAATTGAGCCTAAAAGACACACCGAGAGCCCCACTACACCGTGTTAGCTTGCACCTCTCTGTCCTATGCTCTATCACACAGTACACGCTGGTGGCAGCATGTCTTCAGGTGTCTTACCTAGCTGAGATAATTTGAAGGGCAATTCATTACACTTATCCGAGAAAACAAGAGCCATGATCTGAAGACGCTGATCTCTGTCAACTCTTTAGAGCAAACCAGCTCAGCTGGCTTATACAGAAACCTACAGACAGCTGAAGTGTGATAACAATTACCGGAATTGACAAAAAAGGCTTAAACAAAAATACTTAGTGCACAATACAACATCTCCTGAACTGAGCTATTCTGATAATTTTGTCCGGTTGAAGCCTCAGCACTTTATTATTACAGAAATTAATAGGAAAATACTACATTAAATGAAATATCATCATTGCCTGGTTCTCACAAAAGGTATAACACTCAGAATATTAATGTGCCCATCCTGAATTCATAGGAACAAAAATTTACAAAGAAAGGGAATGATTATGCAACCATGCACACACTTATACTTACAAAAGAAGAGTATAACCAAAGTTGTCTTCAGTCAAAAAAAATTCATGGTTTCTCACCACAATCTTGAAATGAATAACAGTGATTGACAAGGAGGGCTCAGAATTATCTGAGGGATAAAATACCAAGCAGCTTTTCTGACAAAGTTAGTCTTGAATTAAAGGTTACTTCCCAAAGTTGTCCTCCCATACAAAGCGTAGCAACCAAAGATTTTCTAGACACCTTTTTATTGCTGTACTTGGCAGTAAAGGGCTCTGTTTTAATAATTGCATCAAACTTATTAGCAATTAAATACAGTGGCAGAAAAGATATCTATAGCAGTATCTTGGAAGGCATCTGTTCACTTTGCAGTTTATTTTCTTAGGTCACTGTGATCTGGTTTTGTTATAGTTTCTCATTAACTTGTTGGTAACTTGCACAAATGGGATTCATGAGATGAGGTAACTCAAGTGATTTTCAAATATTTAATAAGCACCAGAGGTTTTTTTAAAGTGGAGGGAGAAAAAAGTAGTTTAAGTACTACTAAGACTTCAACTCTTTTCTTCGTGATGGTAACACAAAAGTTCTCTTCCATTCTCATCTGCTTTTCTTACAGAACCTGTGGCCACTTATTTTCCAACAGTGAAATGCATCTCCAATTTTCTCCATATCTTTCCTAAAAATACACTCCCTAACTAAATGACCGAATTCCACAAAAGTTATAAAATCCACATAGACATCTGGGAATTCAAAATCCACCGATCATCAGATTTTCTCTTACTAGTAATGTGAAAAAAGGTATCAGAGTTCAGCTCAGAAAGACACCTAAGAATTTAATTTCCAAAAAACATTACCAGGGCCTTTTGCTGAGAGAGATTTATGATGTCTGTTTGCAAAAGTGAAGTTTAATTTGGGCACACTTTATTAGTTTCCCAAAGCATTCTTCAATATCGAGTGTCCTATTTTTGAGTGCCAGAATGGAAAACTCTAGGCTTTTTGGTTTGGGTTTTTTTTCCCAACACCTCAGATTCTGCTGAGTCAGTTAATGTTTACAAATGCTTCCCGAATGTTTGCCTATGGGAAATGTATGAAATACTGTCAAAAGCAAAAGCATGCAAAAATCACAATGTTTTTGAATTAGAGCCCTTAGAGCCCTTCCAGACAATGGTCTTTATTCTGCAGCTTGACCAGCAGCTATAAAACAAAAAAGCCCTACTTGAGAGAGAACAAATAAGCAATCCAAATCACTCACTATTTTTGCTCTGGCACTTACAGTATTTCTTAAAGAGATAGGTTAATACTTGAAACTTTGGGTCCAAGCACATCACATCAACACACATGTTGGCACTATAGAATCAATGAGAAATATTTGAAGCGGGCTTTGATCAATAACAGTTTAAAGCCTGAAAGCAGACCATTTCCCTAAAGGCAGTATCTATGCAAGGAAGCATACTCAATTAGCTGTTCCACTGTAAGCAGTGGCTGTTCCCTGCAGACAGTGGCTCTAAGGCTGATGTTTCTAGTCAGTTAGTTCTTTATGTTCCCCCACCAACATAAAAGGAAAAAGTAATTTGCTGCTGATATTTGACTAGGCATTGCCAGCTGTAGCTAAAAGAGACTTTTAACATCTCAGTGCAGGGTTGGGTTTTTTCTGCTCTTTTTACTGCCCACCATGAGACTATTCTCCAGAATTTTAGGTCACCCTTTCACAACCCTCACATTTGACTGAAATCGGCCATCTAAGTTCCTCAGTGTTATTCTTGGTGTTTAGCTATAGGATCACATCACTGTCCAAAAGTTAAAATAAACAGGAAATTCAGGCTAAACAGATTAGCAAGCAGAGCCTTCACTGACCATCTTACTAGAAGCCAGGCCCCAGAGAAGGGCTAATTTCCCCACATTTATATTAAAATAAGATGAAACAATTACTCAACACTTTTAAGTGTCACATTTAAGCATATGCAGAAGGCATTGTGTGTTACATAGGGTCCCATAAGTTGCTTCCCCCTCCATGAAAAAGACCACGGAGCAAGATTCCTTCTGACTAGCACACTGGGCTATTTTTCAAGTACCACACCTTGAAGTTCAAAAGATCCCATAAAAACAGAAAACTGTTATCAGCTTGAATTGTCTGGTATTAGAAAGGAAATCATGGGCTGACTTTGGCACATAAATCATGTATTTCTTGAGGTCTTATTTTAAATTACAGCTTCTTACATCACCTTGGCACATATAGTAGACTGATCTATGCTCCATGGACTGGATTATTTAATTCTTTAAGTTCCATTTATAACTTCCAGGCAGGAAGTGTCAAACTAGATAAAGGTTAAGTTTATGCTTTAGGATGAACAAACAGTAGGCTAGCTCTACACTCACTTAAAAATGGATGTGTACAAAGACTTTCTCTGTGATACTTAGATGGGAGTCAATTTCTGTATTATAATGTATCATCACAAAGTCTAGCCTCAGTATCAAGAGATGAAAACTGAAAGCAGGAATAAGCAAGACACCTTTCAAAGTTCTTTACCTTGTAGCATAGAAATATTAACATGTAATATACAATAATGAATATTGCTACTCAAACAATGTAATAGCAATCTACGGTGATGCTGCAACACTCCTAGGCAGCCACTATGTTAATTTTTACCTCCAATCATCCTTTGAGAGATTAGATAAAATATTCATCTCTTCATCATCTTGCAAAAGACGATACGCCGCACTAACATGGTGATTTTCAAGCACAGACCGGTCATTATACAGAATGGCTGAGTCTGACCTAGCATTTAAAAGAAAACATAGGAAAGGTTGTTTCTTCCCTGTCTAAAGAGTCTCACATTCAGAAGTTTTCCTGTGATCAGCTGCAGCAATTAAGTCTATAGGACAGATACAAGCATTTTAAGAACATTTGTAATACTTTGTTAATTGTTGTTATTCAGTAAAAGAAATGTAAAGATCAAAACTCGCTGCAAAACCTATTTCACCAGCTGACACTCAACTAATTGCTTTGTTACATACTTGAAAACAAGCACTGAAAGCTGTAAGAGATACGTAAATTTCAATTTGAACCATGAGGTTTTTTTCCAGTTCTTATGTATGTCGCTCCGATATTAAAGCCTGACTATACCCAAGAAAGCAATTGCAAGATGTGATCCAATATTGTGTCCAGAACAGCAAACTGGCTGTAAGCAAGACATACCTGAACTGCATTCTGACATCCATGTCCTAGACTATGCTGTTTGGAAAGCCAGTTGCCAGTGGGACAGAGGAAGACCAAAGGTAGTTCATGCCTTACTTTAAGCCTCAGAGCAGAGATCTTTGATAGATCACTAGCTAAACTGGTCTGAAAACAAAGAAGTTAATGGCAACGGAGGATGAGTATGATTTGTTACAGTTCCCACTCAGACCTGCTTCTCAGAGAAAAATGTATATTTTTCTTCTCTGACATTTTACACCTTCTGATGTCCACTGTTACAGAAATTAAATTACAACTGTCCTTCCTTTAATCCTTTTATAAGTATTTGGGAAATACAGCAGATCCCTAATTCTTGCATGTGTGAAGCAGTAACAAGTGGAGTGTAGCTTGGCACAGAATGGAGACAGAAACTTTTTTCTACATTCCTAAACTTTCCTGCATGTGTGCTTTATCTTAGCAACCATTGCTGATGCACAGCGTGAATCACAAACTACAGACATCTAATTCAGGGTAAGATACAATGCACCTTAGAAATGCCCAAGTGCAGAGCAGCATTTGAGGACATCTAAACATTTTGTCATTGTTACCAATACACTCCTATTGTCAAAATAATACACAGATATCAAATGTCCAGTTATCACCACAACTAGAGAATTCAGAATCTTTGCATACTTCAGAATTTTGCTACCTTCTTTATCTTCTCCTTCTTTCTTCCATCAACCCAAAAGCCTTATAAAATACACTGGTCCAGTCTAGTTTGTGATCAGTTAATCACTGTCTAGCAATTTAAAAAGCTTTTAAAAAATATTTCCCTGATCGGGTAATGGTCAACATAAGCCCTTGCTGCAGATGTGGTTTTCCACTCAAGTGAAAATAGTAGTGTGTAGTGTTGGTGTTCACTAACAAATACAACAAATCTTGTTGAATATGTGATTTATGCAGTTAATGTTTGATTCTTCAAATTCAACAGGGAGAAAAAAGTTCCAAATTACAGTATCTCCTTCAAAACTATAATACACTAAAATATATTGCTCTGTACATCAATTTGTCTTTGGCACTCTTACATAGAAATAATTTGGGATCTTTCTTTTTCTGATCATTAATGTGAAACAATGCTCAGAAAGCTAAAATGCATGCATTCCATTGTAAATGGTTGAGCAGGAGAAAATTGAATGCAATCTAAAGAAGTGAATTTTCTCCTGTATCACTTGAAAACAGAAGTTCCTGCACTTTTCTAGGTGTGCTATTATTCACCACAGGTTTCCCCCTCCATATTCCAACCCTTCATCATGATTTACAGTGGCCTCACCGTGTCTGGATGTGAAAGTTGTTGGTGGTTCCAGTGTGTTCATAGTCATGTATGGCAGCTGCGAAGATCATAGCGAAGATCTCCAGCTCTGTCAGCCAGTGCTGAAAAGAGATTACAGAGGAATCAGCTAAATTGTCATTTTCTTGTGGGGTTTTGGGTTACAGGATGGGTGCTAGCAAAGCATCCAGGGAGTTGTAGTTCTTAAGTACTCTATCACATATGTGCAGTTAAATGATTGTATAGGATTGGCTGAAAAGGTCACGTGTTGTGACGTATCACCATTTGAAACTACTATATAAGCCTTTGTCTCTTTTAATAAAGCAATGCGTTTGTTACACACCATATTGGTGTCTGCCTAGTCCCAAAGACTCTTTATTTATTAATTATTTATTTATTAATACCACTGCTACATTTTCTCAGGCATTAAAGTTTTTGATTTTTAAGGCAAGTTATCCCCTGTTGAATGTCAGTGTTGCACATCATTGCCCTTCCCCTGCAGCCTGCCAGCTGCTTTAAAGCAAACTTCTCCAGCTAATACACAAAAGCTAAACCAGTGTGTTTCCTGGATCTCCATCTAAATAAAGTGAACTTCAGCAAAATGCTTTCAGGAGTAATAAGGTTTAAGGCAGAGCAAGGGGAAACACATGCCCTTCTGAAAGAGCAATGTTTGAAGAACAGAGACAAGGAAACCCCAAGGAAATCAAGGTTCTTTGAAGGGAACTTGATGATACATATACAACTAAACACATACCACCAGGGTATGTATTTTCAGTTCAGCTGACCTGCGTAGCAGAGCCTCAAATACAGAACAGTGTCAGTAAATTGCAGTAACTAAATGTCTGTGCCAGTCGCTGAATCATGAGGAGAACAAGGAAGATAACCTCAAAAGATGTACATTTTGTTATTTATTTATCATTCTTAGAAATGTTTGAGAAAGCCCTAAAGTTTAGGGGTTTTTTCCTAATTTCCTAGTCAAAGCCTTACTCTTCAATGCTTAAATCACTTTTCCCTTAGATTTATAAATAACTCACGTGGGCTTAATAATTTATCTCTTGGTCAATCAATCATTTCATTGTCTGGTTTTCCAGACACACAAGGAGTAACGCATATGGAGCGTTGTTAACATCAAGTGCATCGGAGGCGAAGGCTTTAGATACCATAAATATTTGCATGAAATGCTTAAATGTATTGCATTTAGGGAAAACTTTTACCACAGAGATTGCCAAACAGTTCTGTAACTACCCACTGTCAATCTAAAAGTGTTTTGACCGACATTCACGTATGAGCTGCCTTTTAATTCAATGTACACATTGCACCTCTTCTTACTGACTACACCCTGCAGTGCATTTTCATTAACTAACGGTCCTAAAAACAACAGTGACCAGTTTAGGATCTCATGGGAGGTTCTGAGTAAGCACTTGCATTAGCTGCAAAATCTGACCTAAATCATTTTTATTTCAGGCACAATCAGAAGCAATTGACACAACTTCCATCAGAATCAGGCAGTCTGAGTCAGCTCTTGAGACAGATAGGGCCTGACTCCTTCCAAATCTGCCTCTGACAAACAACAGTGTTTACTGCTCTCACTGAAGTGTGACTGCAATTCACAGGTACAGCCTACATGCAACACAGGAGACTCGGGGCATTTACAGGAAGCACTGGAGCATACGACTCCTCAGGGAAGAGCATCCAGGTCTGGCTTCAGAATTGCAAGCAACAGCTGTGTGGCAATTAAGGAACTGCAGAGAGGCAGACCATACGCACAAAAGGTTGCTCCCAAGCATGAACAACTAAACAGTTGTTGAAATTGGCCTAAAAGACACACCAAGAGCCCCACTACACCGTGTTAGCTTGCACCTCTCTGTCCTATGCTCTATCACACAGTACACGCTGGTGGCAGCATGTCTTCAGGTGTCTTACTGAACTGCACAGATAAAGGCATCATCAACATGCAGTGGGAGATATAAACATCTCCACAAGTGATGGTCACAGAGAATTCTTATGGTAATTTTGTATAGCCCATCTAAGGTAGTCATGCTATGAGAAAGAATGTTGGAATTTGGTTAGGCTGAGTCACACAGAACCATGATTTTCCGTCATCCTTTTTTTCAACAGTTCCCAATTAGAGTTTGTAACAACTGGGGAGTGTTCGAGAAGCCCTGAGCTTCAGTAAGAGCCTCAGTGTGTGGTGATTTGGGTTCACCTGTCTGCTCTGAACTACAATGACTCCTTTCCTCTGGAACTGCACAAGTTAGTGAAATGACCTCAGTGAAAGGAAGCACAACAGACAAGAATTACATGTATTCAAGTACCAGCCACAAACACAGCAGTCACTGAATGGCCATGTTGTAACAAGAGATAACTGCAAAACACTGAGCAGACAAACCTCCTTTTCACTACCACCTTTGCCTCTATGCTTCTGAGAATGCAAAGGCGAGGGCAAAAAGGATGCTTGGAAAAAGTCAAGCAATTAATATGTGGAACAGATCTGCCCCACAGGATCAGACTAGAAGTAATTTCATTCCTCTTTGTGTCTGCAGCAATAACCTGGAGAAAGAGGAGAATGAGATACATATGTATCCTGTACATTTTGAGCTGTGTGGGACAGAAATTTTATGGGCCTCCAGCTAAATCTAAACTGCAATGGTTGATCATCACTCTGGAATCTATCCACCTTCAATTTCTCTAGTCCATCTTCAAGTGTATTTCTGTTGTTTGTCTTGAAAACCGCTGTGGGAACAATATTGTATATTTTTTTAAGCCCTCTATCCATTCCTGACACTGTCAGATATCAGCCATTTGTAGGCTTCTATGTAAACCAGTTCAAGATGGTTTTGCTGTAAAGAAGTGGATGGGGATCAGCAGTTCCAGATTATGGCCCTTATGCTCAGATAATTGGAATGAATTATCCTTTGGATGTACTGCCTCCATCGCTTAAGTTAAGAAGACAGCTTAGACAATACAATCTTTCATATTAGGTGAAATGAATACCAACAAATTTGTGTTGGCAGATTCACACAGGAGATCTGTGGTAGAGTGAAAAACCGGGCTTAGCTTTTTCATTCATCCCCTTTAGATCACTGTTAAAAGAGTTATTGACAACTGCACCTACCTTCTATGTCTAAATAATCCAAAGTCGCTACTTGCATTAGCTCAGACATATCAAATGAAGTTTGTCTACAATGCAAATGTGGATAATCACAATCTCATTATTAGGCAAAAACTGTTGTAATCTAACTATACATTCAGGATGCCAAGTCCTTTACTTACCACTATGCCTGTCTTGAAAAGGAGGTAATGGACTGTCTGTGTCACATCTGCAGCATGCATTAGGTTGTGATAAGGATTTTTGTGTTTGCTGTAGCCAACCTCCAGAGCTTCCACAAAGGACACCAGGGAAGAAATGGGAATCTAAGTAAAGCATCACAGAATTAAAGAAAAAAAACCAAAACAGCTTTAATGGCTAGCATTCAGAGGGGAGTATTTTTATAAGAGGTTTCCAAAGAGCAGTTTTTACTTGACAAATAAACAGAACACTAAAATATCTGAAACAGGCACTTGAGAGAGAGTGAATTCAGGTTACTCCTTCAGACTGGTTTTTCCATCCATAATTACATTATGGGTGAATCATTCCCACACATAAACACACAGAAATAAGTATACTATGAAATGTTGTCTGGAAGACACATAGATTATGAAAAGTAGCAGTGACCACTTTATTGATTGTCCCTGGAGAAATATTTCTAAACAGGCTACAAGCAACTGTCTATTGCCTTCACAACCCAGCAGAATATTCTGCTTTACTATTCACATTCAGGATTTTCTAATGAAATACATCATATAGCAAGTCTGAGAAACATTTATCAGACCTCCAGGTTTTCACAGCAAAATCCAGCCTGTCCATCCTATGGGACTGCCATGTTTCTCTGACTCCAAGATTAACTTCAGACACTCAAAGAAATGCGACTGAGGGGATTTCTACAGAGGAGACTATGCAGGTGCTGTCAGCTGTAATGTATGCAACCAGCAACATGGGCAACATGGGTTCTCCAGTTTCACTGTTTCCATAGAGGAGCACTGCTGTTGTCCTATTGGGTACAAATAAGCAGAGAATGCAGCTCTGACCAGACACCTTCTTTAAAGATGTCTCATCAGACATGGGCAGTTCCTGAAGAAGTACAGGACCCAGTGATCTGTAAACATTTTCCAGCCAAAGTGAGTGGGGATCCATGGGAACTGAAAATGTCAAAAGAGGAAGGGACAGCAGAGAATCTGCATGAGGGGAATGGTCAAGATCTAGATGGCGATGTTTCTGCTGTTCAAATTTAAGCCTGTTCAAAGTTGGAGCAAAAGATACATAACATTTGTATCTGCAAACCTCTGTAACGATTACAAAATTATAGAATAGTTAGGGTTGAAAGGGACTTTTAAAGGTCTCGCCCCTGCAATGAGCAGAGAGACATCTTCAACTAGATCAGGTTTCTCAGAGTCCAATCTGACCTTGAATGCTTCCAGGGATGGGGCATCTACCATGTCTCTGGGTAACCTGCTCCAGTGTTTCACTACTTTCACCATAAAAAAAAATCTTCCTTACATCTAGTCTAAATCTACCTCTCTTAGTTTAAAATCATTACCCCTTGTCCTGTTGCAACAAACCCTGATAAAAAGTTATTCCCCATCTTTCTTATAGGTCCTTTCAAGTACTAGAAGGCTGGAATGAACATTCATCAGAACCTTCTCTTCTCCAAAGGAACAACCCCAACTCTCACAGCCTTTCCTCGCAGGAAAGGTGCTCCAGCCCTCTGATCATTTTTCCAGCCCTCCTCTGGAGTGATTCCAACAGGTCCATGTCTTTCCTGTTCTGAGAACTCTAGACCTGGATGCAGTACTCCAGGTGGAGTCTCATGAGAGTGGAGGAGGGAGCAGAATCATTTTCTGGCCTAACTAATTGTAATTAATTTGAATTTGCATTCATGTTCTCTTATTCTCTTTTTGTGCCTGCATACTTGAGGGTCCTATGAAGCTCAGGAAAATGACACCATCATTCTGAGAGGTTCATATGCAGTACTTCCTATGTATTTGATGTGGAAACCTGTTTGGAAACCCATCTACTTCATGGTTTTCCATTGCAATTGAAAGTACTACTTAAATCACATCTGGTCTTGCTTATTGAGGAAAGTGCAGTGTTCATAAAATCTTCAAAGATCACTAAAATTGCATTTTGAATGGAACAAAGCAGGATGAGAAAGAAGTTGAACAAAATCTAGGATGGAAGAAGATAACCATCTTCTAACTACTGACCTTGAAACGGTTGATCAGATCATAGCGTGTGAGAAGTTCATAGAAAATGAATTTCAGTGCATGATCGCCACTGGCATCGTTTAGTGCAAATACATCAAAGGACCACATGTCAACATTCTGTAAGAGTGGGTAGAAAAGACAATATGGTCATCCCTTTTACCATGACAGTTCAATTTCTCTCACTTTCTCTCACAATCTACAAACTGAGAATTAGAGATGTCATCATATATTTTCTTTTTTAATAAATTCTTCAATTCCACTTCATCATCATGGCTAGGCTTCGCAAATGAAGATTTGAGAAGGGCTCTACCCACGCTTGCTACAAGCGTGCTGATGGCTAAAAAGGCCAATGCGAGATAGACAAGTCCGGTTGCAATTCCACTTAATCAATGCAGAATCATCAGGATACTCATAGTATCAGTATACTCATCAGTATTGTATGACTTGCGGTTAGGAGGCTTCCATTAAGAACATGTATGCTGTTTGCTTCTTCTAAACATGGCAATTCTCTACACTAGAATTTAATCACCAAAGGATGAATCCTAATAGATAAAAATTATGGTGTGCTTTAGTACCTGAAACATTGAGATGGCCTATGGGGGTTGATTTTACCACACTCTGTCCTCTACCCACAAGCTATGTCTATAAAAAAGAAAAATAATTTTGAAGAACAGAGGAATAATGAAGATTTTTTTTCTTTAATAATATTGAAGCCTCTGGATTTTGCCGTCCCTGTTGAGTTCTTATAACTCTATCTTGTGAGCAAAGCACTCCAATGCCTCACTAATGCTCAAAACAGAATAAGGTTATATGTTTTTTTGCAGTAAAAAAAAAAATACAGGCACCTGAACTCTTATTTTTTCACTTACTGTTTAATCACCCAAGATGATAACTAAGGACTATCTTGCTAGACCCAAAGAGCAACTTAGTTGCTTTGGATTTTAATATTAATCCTGATTTGTGATTATTGCATCTTAACTTGCCCAAAGAGCATGATCCTAATTTTCCTTATTTCTTTAAAAGGTGAGTCCAGTGGAGCTTTTAAAAAAACTACAGGGCAGAAGAAAATCCCAGTAATATTACATTATGTGCTAACAATTATATAAAAACCCAACCTTTATAATAGAAGAGTAAATACCTAATTACTATCGGGAAAGTTCCAATTAGCTGTAAATGACATATTGATGCTGCAGGGTGTTCAGCATTAATATCAAGAGATTGAGGGGAGAAAGTTCACTTCCCAGCTCATAAAGCTAATGCATACAGTATAAACCTTCTTGCAGAAGATTGAGTTCAAATCTCAACTTTTAGGGAAGGCCGTGGAAGCTGACAGCACTCATTATCTAGCAAGATGAAGCTCCTTGATCTCTGAATTGGATGTTCCTGAAACTTCATGAAACTTTCTCTCCTCCCAACAACAAAGAGGAAAGATGCAGATGAGAGTTATAGCTAGTAGAATGATATACAGACCAACCATGCAGCTGCATCTGGCACAAGGGTCAAATGCTTCAAGTCAAATGCAAAAGACATTTTAACCACTTTGTGGTTGGTTCACTATACATCAGTATAGCTACTGGACTGCTTCTGTTCTGAATGAGACCAATATATTTTGTTACCATCTCTTCCCAGCATGAGGCGATCCTTCCTACTTGCATAGTGCTGATTACACAGAGTTGAGTATACCTGTTGTGGCACTGCAGTCCACAGAGAGGCTAATTAGTGAGTGAACATCAAGGATGCTCAATATTCAGCTCTTCTTTCACCTATCCCAGTAAATTACTTGCTTGCCGAGCAGTTGATATTAGAAGCTGTGCAGAGCTGAGAGATTGAATACAGTGTCAAGCTTCTCCAAAGATGATTTGTGGCCCAAGTCAGAGAAAAGCAATCATAAATTACACTTTCATTAGGCATTGGAGAGTAAGAACAACCAAGAGAGTAAAAAGTTCCACCAAAAAGCCCTTGAACAAGCTTAGAAAATGAGAAATAGAAATTAGAGAGAAAAATAATGCCCAAGTACAATTTAAAGTGTTTTCCTTTTTTTTTTTCTTTTTTTTTTTCTTTTTTTCTTGTTTGGTATTTTTATTTTTTAATCACTTATTTCAGTCATTGAAGCAAATTCATTTAAAGCTTGCATAGATATAGCAATTTGCTTCTGGGTCATAAGACATCAAAAATAATATGTCAACGTGCTAAAAGGGCTTTGTTCCTTTATTGTATTTTCCCTGTAGTTAATGCAGCAGATAAAATTTATCAAATTGTGAAATTGCAGACTAGTACATCCGAACTGTTCTTCTTCATTAAATAATAGTTAATCACATAGATGATAAGTTTCACAGGAGAGCTATTTAGATTTTACTGAGGGAGAAATCCTTGCTCTTGTTAAATCAAGAAAAGTTTTGCTATGGACAATGACAGAAGCATTTTACTCCGAATCACTGGGGGAGAGAAACCTTTTTACCAGAAGCATGAAAATGTCACAGATGGCCTAGAGGCTTGGAGCAACACCAGTTACACTTTGAAACTTAGTGGATTTTAGGACCTTAAAAAATTTTTAACACAGAAGTGACCCCTATATTGGGGAGAGATCTAAAGGGAGGTAGACCTTCACAGATGACTTGTGACTGAGGAGAAAAACTTTTTCTTCTCCCTAAGGAGAGCAGGAAAAGCAAGCAAAACTTTCTGTTCTATACATGCTAGATCACTGACACTGTACCCTCAGTGGAATTGTCATAAGCTGCTCTTATGCCACATATGACAACTATGGTATAACAGAAAATAGATCCAAGACACATTACTACTCAGCCCTGTGTCCTGATTACTCAGCCACTGATCCACTGATTTGGGGAACCTAGAGATGAAGAAAAACACTAATTCTTTTTAAATGCTCAGTTTCCTGGCTTTCTGTCTCTTCTTAACCTTGAAGACTTGTTTTATAAGTCAACGAGCAGTATTTCATTGTTTTACTAAAACTAACCTCAGTTAGTTGCCACAAAGCTGTGATTCCACAGGTTTGTATTACTTGATGCAGATGTCCTGTTGGCCACAGCAGCAAAAATGAGAGCATGCAGTTCAAAAATAAGCTTGTTTTGACTTCATGCCATCTCAGTCCTTGTATTTATTAACATGACTCTGAGGGGAATGTTGATTATGGCAATCCAGAACAGCTGAAGAGATGTGTGTGGTACAGTCCTACAACCTTTTGCATGCTTAAATCATCAGGTCATTTTACAGAGCACACTAAGCACTCAGGTAGTTGTAAGGTTTATTTACTAGACCTTACCAGACCAAAGCAAGCAACAAAATACAACATTTTCAATGGAGGAGATGGGACTGAGAAATTTAAGATGAAAGAGGTAAGACAGAAGACTCCACAGAATCACAGAATATACTGAGTTGGAAGGCACCCACAAGAATCATTGAGTCTAACTCTTAGCTTGCACAGGACATCCCCAAGAGTCACTCCATGTGCCTGACAGCATTGTCCAAATACTTCTTGAACTCTGGCAGCATTGGGGACCCAAATTCCGTGGAGACCCTTTTTGCCTTCTTCAAAATAAGTAACTCCTATTTCAACCACATCCACTACCAAAACTGCAAAAGCTGTATAGGCAGCTGGCTCCTAACATCTGTTTGTAGTCTTGATAATTCCTGCCTAAGTAAAGAATTTTGTGATTGTCCCATGGATTGAACCTTTGGAGTTTTTTCAGACTAATTATGACTTATCATTTTTCCTCTGAAACCTCAAAACTCATAGAAGGGTCAGTATTCATAAACTGATTGTCACCTTGAAGACCTGAAGCTGAACAATGTGAGAAATCCCTTCTCTCACAGCAACTGATCCTTTTCCTTCTCCACCTCTCTCCATCTTTATTTTCTTTCTTCCCTGTGGGATGTTGTGATTGATTCCCAAGTCCTTGGTTTAATCACTGTAATTTGGAACAGAGTTGTAACCTTCACAACCTGAAAACTGCCACAGCCTTGAACTCTGTTCTTTCCTTTATTGAAAGGATATTCCCTTGGGTCTCTTAAATGATTAATGTATGTGAACTAAACTCATGTCAGAGAGAAGGAAAGGCCAAGTACTAAGACTCCCTTATCAAGTCGAATATTGCAGTATTATGTTGATGCTTTGTATAGACTCCCCTTCAATACCTTTTTATTGGGATTACCTTTAGCACTCCAATTACAGCTGGTGGGTAGCTCAAGCCAACCATATTTGAAGTCCGTCTGTACATTCTACCAAGATAAAATAGATAAGGCAACACATAAATAGAATTAAACAAAATAAAGCAATCAACAAAAATCATAAAACAACAGGCCATTACAGGAGACTTTATTTAGTCCAGGAAACTCCAACAGCAATTTGTTGGGTTTTTTTCTTCCATCTTGTTCCTAACTTGCACAATATTCTCTACACTATTCTTATTGTATAGTCTAATTTGAGCCTATACACTCCCCATTATCTCATAGTTTGGCTACCCAGCAGGACATGACAAAGAATTTGCCAATACCAGGTCTTCATCAGAGGGAAAGGCTACACTCAAATAACAAGATGTTCCCAATTTTCCACTGCACATGGCTGTACTGATCTTTCAGTTCCCTTAGTCCTTGCTGGCCCACATGCACGCTAATTCTGAATGTACCTCAGAAATCATTGGTATGCAATGAATCAACTCCAGTTTGGCACAGCTGTTATTTTTGTCTGTATGTTTTCAAGATTAGTATAAAATGTTTTGGGTGTTCGCCCTATGTGTGTGTTTCAGGGAGTGGGAGAGAAAGAACAAAGTGAAAATCAGCACCTGTAACCATACTAAAAGCATGTATGTAGTAGATTTTATACTTGATTATAAAGCATATTTTAAAAAATATTATAAAGTATGTACTAGATTTTAAACTTGTTTTCAGGGCACACTGTGTTTAACAGGCTTAGTGAATGCAGAAGCACTGTCATAGCTAAAATGCCTTTTCACAGGTCATCCTTTTTTGCCCTTAAGAATCATAGGACTAAAAGGAGATGATGGAAAGCTCTCTTCTCCCATCTGAAATGATCCTGTGCAAGTCTTCCTTCACTTACATTTTTTCTGTCATGTTCTGTACTCAGATCTGAGAAAAGGCATCTCCTTTGAAGAATTATATTCACCCATTCCTCAAATTACAAAATTTCTTATCCCCTTCCTCGCTCCAGTCAGAAGCTTCACAGCCTTCTCTTAAGACAATTCAGAGTCCCTTTCCCTTACCTCAGGAGAGCCACAACCCTCCTCTGATGCTATATTATATCTCCTTTGGGCCACAGTGATTCAGATCAGCTGCAAAACAGCCTTCTACAGCCTACTCTGCAGCAGTTCATTTACTTCCTTGTTGAGCAAGTCCCCCATTAAGAGTGAGGGTTAATTCACAAATAGCCTGTCAAACCTAGGACAAACCTGTTCCAAGGAGAAATGACAAGTTTATGCTTGTCACAATTTGCTACCACTCTTAACGCATGTACAGTAACTGGTGCACAGACAAAAATATTGGCTATAATCATGCCGAAGGAGGCTTCTGTGTATCTGTGTGGCTTGTGGTCTGCTATCTGATACACCCAACCTCCTGCACAGAGGGCTGTTAGGCTGTCACTGCAATTCTGATGAACAGTGAAAGGTGCTCTGCTCCTCCATTCCGAACTTGAATTTTGCTGTTACAAAATTCTCCCAGGGACCCGGGAGCTACTGTCTTTCAGGCCATCTAAAGACTGTTGACAGTTTCACATGTGCCAGCCCTCCTTTTAGCTTGAATGAAGAGAGTCAGCAAAGAGTGTTACTTGATAAGAAAAATTAAGATTGGAAGTGAGTCCAAATTGAAATGATTAAATGTTTTAAATAAGTGTTCAGAAAATAAAATCGGTTCTGGCAACAGATTCTGATGTTAATCGCAACAGGGAAGGCTAAGAGGATTCAATGGCTTTCTTTAAATCCCCCCTGAACTCTAAAATATTCACATCAATCTTGATCTATAGTTCTTTCTAGTAATACTATGATAAAGGATTGTGTTTTGTTTCTTAGTAATTCTTCATGAGAAATACTGGACCATAGAAGTAAACAGAGGCAAGGGAAAGTTTGGTCTGGCCTGACTGAATATTAAATGCTGTCTCTCCTGACCTAGAACTATGCAGAAATGTATATTCTTTGTCAAAATTATATCAGCTGTGCTATTACATCTGTACTATACTAAGAACAGATGAAACAGAACTGTTTCAGATTGCAATCTGTTACTTAATCCCAGATTTTAAGGTGTTATCCAGATCTGTGTAGGAACATCATTAGAAGCATATTAAAGTGTTCTTCATTGAATGGAGTAACCTACTCTTTCTCTGAGGTCTTCTGCCCTAAGGTATTCTCCTCCACCTCCTGTAATTGTGCAATCTGTTGTACCTGGGCAGTTATTAGAACAAAGTAATTACATCCTACCTTACCTTTCTACAAATATCCCAGCTTGCACTGCATGGACAATACTCCTGAACCGGGGTTTTTCCTCTGTCTTTTTGAGCATCATCCCCATTTGCCGTGTGAAGGTAGAAGCCAACCAGTCACGGACCTCTGAGGGCACAGAGTCAGACCGTATATCACTGAGTTCATCTTCTGTGTCCAGTAAACGCCTAGAAGGGTGAGGAACAATGGGTGAGCAGATTCCCTTAGAGATCACTACAACATTATTAACAAAAAAACCCCTCACACATATTCTAATTAAAGCAGCTGTTAAAAGTCTTTGGTTTATCATTCCTAATCAAACACAATCATATAAGTCTTCAACAGTTTGTTTATTATCTTGTATACTTTAATTTCATTTTGTAAAATTTACTACTAGGCTGACAAACTAGAAGTATCAGCCTTTTGAATCACAGTCACATAATCATTCACTGACTTCACATCTTCAGCACATCAATGTTTCTGAACTTTCTACCCTTCAGAGATAATTTATGGTCACTTCTAACTTTTGAGTTAGTAACATACAGTCCTCTCCTTTCCTATTCTGATCATCTGTGGCGACTCCACAAGTGCACTTGCCACTGGATAAATGGCATATAACAGAAAGAGGAACTCTTCTGCAATGTCTTACCAGTCTACCTCTATTATGACCTGGAGTAAACTTTTTTTTAATTTCAAAGATATGATACAAGCAAAAAGATTTAACATTATTCACAAGGAATAAATGAGTAGGAATTTAGAAACTTTCAGAAGAAGTGGGACACAATTATTATGAAAACATTTCTCCATGAAAATGTATATTACACTTATGATTTCTTTTTATCTCCTTCCCTGCCCCACAAAATTTAAAAAAGCTTTTAAACCAAGGATTGAAGATCTACTCTACACAGAATACAATATTCTAATGATTAAAAACATATTTTCTGCCAGTAATAAATCTTGGCTCAAATTTCCCGATTGACGTGTAAATTAAAATTTTGTGTCATTGGTACTAGATATAAGAGTGCTGATGTCTGGAGTTAACTCACCTAGTTTCGTCAATGTATACTGACTCAAGAACAGTCGCAGCATATTCCAAATTCTTCTTTAAGTCTACAACTGAAGCTTCCCCTCTCTCTAATTGCTTTACCAAAGACCGCAATCTAAAAAAAACAAAACAAAAATCTGATTAGTATAAAGAGAAACAGGTTTGACAGTGAGTATTAGTTCCCAGCATGAGACCTAGCATACATGCTTGACAGGTGGAAATTTTTGAAGTTTATAAGTTTCTCGAAACCACATGCAAGAAATCAACAAAAATCACTTTTTAAAGATCAGTTACAATGAGGCCAGGCAAACAGTACATTGTATTTAAGCTCAAATAAGTCTGTGAGTTATCATACAGTCATAGAATCATAGAATATGCTGAGTTGGAAGAGACTTATCAGTATCATCAAGTCCAACTCCTGGCCCTATGCAGGCCACCCCAAGAATCACTCCATGTGCCTAAGAGCATTGTCCAAATGCTTCTTGAACTCTGGCATGCTTGATGCTGTGACCACTTCCCCAGGGAGCCTGTTTCAATGCTCCAGCACCCTCTGGGTGAAAAACCCTTTCCTAGTAACTAACCTAAACCTTCCCTAGCTCAGCTTCATGCCATTTCCTTGAGTGGTGTCACTGGCCACAAGGGTGAAGAGATTACTTCTCTCTCCGCTTTCCCTCATGAGGACCGTGAATAACTCAATGAGGTCTTCTCTCAGTCTCCTCTTCTCAAGGCTGAACAAACCAAGTGACCTTGGCCACTCGTCATAAGGCTTCACCTCCAGATCTTTCACCATCCTTGTAGCCCCCTTTGGATGCTCACTAATAGTTTAATGTCTTTTTTATACTGTGGTGCCCAAAACTGCACACAGTACCCAAGGTGAGGCCTCACCAGTGCAGAGCAGAACAGGACAATCACCTCCCTTCACCAGTTGGATGTCCTCTACTCACACTACAATAATTTAAAATAGAAATCATGTGGAATTTAATACAGGAGCTGAGAGGACAAATTCAACCCAGCTAAAAGACAGAAGTAACTTTTTGAATAGCATCTGTTAATAAACAATAGCCATTCATAATTATTGATGTATGCATATGCAAGATTGTATTAGAGTATATTCAGAAACATTACCATAGAAATACTATACAAGGTTAGGAAATGCTATGGTTTTCATTAGATCAAGAGCTCACCCTTAGACTATCCCATATATACTAAACAAAACTCATGGAAGTTTTATCAGATTATTATTATTGTTGCAAGGGGGAAAAGACTTTTTGAAAACAAAAATTTGTGCAAAAAAGTCTCATCTGTCAAAGACAATGAATATATTTATGCAATTTTTTTTTCTCTTTTCCTCTTTTTCACTCTACTAAATTAGAAAAAAAATAGAAAGAAAGACGAGAATAAAAGTTAAAGCAAGGAGCAATCTAAATATTTTCAAACAATCCAATTTGCATGCTTATAATTAGAAGAAGAAAATTATTCCATTAAAAGGAGAATGGGATAAAGACTTGAGAAGTTAAAAAATTTTTGTGAATGTCCTCTTCCTGGTTAAACAGAAGCTAAATAAACATTCAAATATATATTTAACAGTGTAGCAGAAATCATAAGCTGTTAATTTGTCTTGTTCAATATGCAAAAATGTAGAGGAGTAGTCATGTCACCTATAATTTGTCCTCTAATTAGGAGACTAGTCTTCCTCATCTTCTTCTATATTCTGTGGAGTAAAATACCCTTTTCCACATAGCAATTCAGAACTAGAGCCCAATATAAGTGTCTGCTTTCACTTTATTAACTGTAGTAGGAGTCCAATCTCCTACGTTAGACATATGCATGAAGTTCTGAAAATGGAGTATCTGTATTTCCTTGCCATTATAATGCCCCTGTGGTATCAGTGCTTTCAAAAGAAATCAAGTCTCCATGGGGATGTATTTCATGGAAGAGTTGAAGTTTGCCTGTGTGTACTGCACAAACAGCTCTTTCAAGCTTGGTTTCCTTCCTCCCATTTTTTCCTAACATAAACAGTGAACCTATGGAGAAAAAAAGATCATTAAAAAGGTCATTTGTTTCTCTGGCTAGTTCACATAAATGCCACTCCTGCTAACAGTGGTGCTGCTGACACACAGCTACATAGTATTTCATGTATCTTTATTTTTTAAAATAGTCCTAAATGGACTGAAGAGCATTCAGGCAAGTTTATTAACTGAAAAATTCTGTTTCAAGGTGGCGAAAATAATTCTCAAGTTCAATGAAATTCAGTTAGGAATGTGGTTTTAGTGAGGGCTTTGCAGTGCTGGACTTAACAGTTGGACTCATTTGTGATAACATTCCTTTGATAGCCAGCTCAAATAGCTTTTTTTAAAAAAATGAAAATAAATAAATAAAATCAACCACAAGCTTTAGAAATTTACAAAATAATAATCAGAAATATAATCAGACCTAACTGTATAAAAGCCAGATTCACTATACACACACAAAAAGACCAGGAGTTGCTTCTAAAGGCTGGAAAGACAATATCTATTGAACTGAAAGGCAAAACCTTACCTTCTGACCTATAATACGTTCCTCACCCTTCTCTGGAAAACCACCATAATTACTGGTAGTAAACTCTTTAGCCAGTTTGAGAAATAAATGTTCACTGTGCAAGGAACTATATTTCTATCAAAGAATTGCTACAGAGAAATATGTGTGCATCTGTTATCTCACTACAATGCACAAACTCAATAAATTTGATATTCTTAAGTCATATGAGAGTTAGATAGCATGTGCAGACCAGCTAAGCAATGAACACATATTAAGGCCTGTCAGATACCCCGCAGCAGTACTTGTCCACTTGTTGTGGTGTAAAGACACAGCAAAGAAAATACATTGTCCTAAAGTATCCAGAGCAGACAGCATGAGATTATGCAGTATAGTGCACATGTGCAGACGTTTCCGTCAGCTGGGTGAACAGGTGCCTCCACAGTTTGCCTAGCAAATCCTTTGAAATCCATTCAAATAGGGGATTTTTGGGAAGGGTACAGCATACACAGAAAGTAATCCAGAAAGCTCACCATCTCTTTTCACAACAGTTAGCATGTATTATTCATTCCACAGTCTGCTACATCTTAATCTAAGGCTCTGCATACATGGCATGTGTGAACCACCAAGGAAAAGACAGAACCTAGAAAGCCAGCTCAAGCACGAATCCTCAAAATGCAACTGAAGATAGAGTAACTCGTAGCCTATGACTCAATGCATTTCTATTAGGTTGAATAGTTATCTTCTGTCACTACTATTGTATACAAAAAAATGCAAGTCACAACATTAGGAGGAATCAAAAACGTGTGTTTACAAAGAGCAAATACACGGTCCTTGCTACACTGGAAAAAGCTACATATAATTTCACCAAGTAATTGTTTTGTCTTATTCATGTTTCCTGAAATATCCTTCTTCCATTGAATAAAAAATTAAAAATTTGAAGTAATCAATTATTTTTTGTATTGTTTAGAGATGTGAAAATGCAATGACATGTTCAATGGCCTTGGCATGATGGTGAACAACTTGTTTCAACTCACCTTGAGTCAAATAAAATTTTGACTACATTTGTCGACGGTAAGTGAATACATATTTTGTATTTTCACTTCACAGTTAAAAATTCTTTCATGCCTATTAAATGAAAGGAAGTCCTGTGCCTAAAACATTGGCAAATTTTGGCTTACTGAAAGATTTTCAATAAAATAACAACCGAGGCACTTCCTCAGCACCACATCCTTTGAATTACCCTTGTCTCCGTCTCCTGCTACTGAAAGCTCTAAATGGTGTGCTCTCCTTCCATGTGCAAACACCTCCCTCATTCTTAGGGTCTGAACTTTGGGAACTAAATCAGAAAATATAAGCAGTAAAAAGTCTTGGCTGTGGTGGTTTTTGTTTTTTATTCAAGTCAACCAATTCACCCAGCACTAACCTTTTATGGAAAATAGGCACACATGCTCATGGAAGTCACTGGAGATAGATAGCTACAATGAACCACCTGTCATTTACTTCCTCTGAAAGGGTGCACTGCCTCTTTGATGTGCCTTCCTTCCTCCACTAATGACAGAAATAAGCCAGAAGATGAGCGTAAGTGATCACTGTGGTTTCAGACAGCTAAGAAGAGGTGAGAGGACTCCTTCAACTGAATAAATTTGAGAGCTGAACAAGGATAAATTTCAGATGTGGGAGAGAAAGAAAGGCTGTATAATCACAGTACAGTCACTGAATTTGTTGACAATGAGATCCAAAGACAGCAAATGAAGTCTTCCAGAATCAAGCCTTTTCAAATCACTGTTGCATTTCATAAAAAAACCTAACACATCAGACACAAATCTAACACCTTTTAATTTACAACTTTAAAAATAGGTACCTGAAATAAAACATCTATAAATACATAATAGATGTATAATATAATAAAACCATATGCAGTAAACTCACTGCCCTGGACTTCAAGAAAGCAGACTTTAGCCTCTTCAGGGATCTACTTGGTAGAGTCTAGTGGGATAGACCCCTGGAGGGCAGAGCCGCCCAAGCATACTGGCTAATATTCAAGGAACACCTCCTCCAAGCTCAGGAGCAATGCATTCCAACAAGGACGATATGGGGTAAAAATGTCAGGACATGTCCATGGATGGATAAGGAACAGCTGAGCAAACTCAGAGGAATAAAAGAAGCTTACAGAAGGTAGAAGCAAGGACAGGCTGCCTGGGAGGGAGGGATACAGGGAAACTGTATGAGAAGCTAGGGACCATAGCTGTTTACTACTGGAAAGTCATAAGCAGTAACCTGCTGCAATCAATTGACTCAGGAATGATGCTAGCAAAAGGGGATAAAAGCTTCCCAATCTGGTTGTGTTATCTATTCTTTACATATCTATACCTGTTGACACTTTTACCCAATTTTCTTCACAGGTTTCAAGAAGTTATGTTCTCTTTTGTACTGTGCCACTAAGAGTGGGTATTGGGTTCTTGTTGTACTCCCGAACATGAGGTGTTTATCACTGCATCTTCCCAGCATGATTCCTAACACTACACTTGTTCAGTTGTAATCTGTCTCCAGCCTCCCTAGTGACAAAGCCTACAAGTTAAAGCAGCAACACATGCACAA